AGTGGGAATAATAATTGGTTTAACATTTCTAATGGCCATTTAACAACATCAAAAGCTCTAAAAATACATATAGCCTCTGACCCAACAATTCTACTTTTAGTGAATTTAACAAACTTATTAAAATAGGCTCAGTTTTTTAATTATGAGAACATTCACTAAAATAATGCGTAGAATAATCCAAACCTGAAGGGGAAAATATTAATGCCTAAACTGGTTGGTTAAATTGTGGATACATTCTGGGGCATCTGGGTGGCTCAGTCAGTTAAGTGTCTGACTCCTGATTTCAGCGCAGGTCATGATCTCGGGGCCATGAGATCGAGCCCCTTATCAGGCTCCACACTAGGCATGAAGCCTGCTTAAGATCGTCTCTCCCCAGGGCACCTGGGTGGCTCAGTCAGTTGAAAATCTGCCTTCCGCTCAGGTCATGATCCCAGGATCCTGGGATTGAGCCCCTCACCCAGCTCCTTTGCTCAGCAGGTAATCTGTTTCTCCCTCTGCCCCTCCTCTCCACTCATGCTCTCCTGTACACGCTCACTCTCTCTTAAATAAGTAAATAAAATCTTTTTAAAAAAAATTCTCTGCTACCCTCCACCCCTCTCCCCCTGCTCTCACATAGTCTCAAAAAAAAAAAAAACAAAAAACTGTAGATACATTCTCAGAACACTGTGGGGATTTAAAAACTGGTAACAGAAGTACTCACTGACATGGAAGGAAATGTGCTGAGTGTATCCCTGAGTGGAGGAAAAGGAAGGTTACGAAACATACATGATATCCCCATTATAGGGTGTGCATACACAGACAAAATGAAGGGGAAATGCCCAAGTGTTTTGTGATTTTCTGATTAACTCCAGATGACAGGATTATGACTTTTTGCTCCTATTTTTCTACAGTATGTATCATTTTAAAGATTTTAAGATTTTATTTATTTATTGGACAGAGAGAGAGAGAGATCACAAGTAGGCAGAGAGGCAGGCAGAGAGAGAGGAGGAAGCAGGTTCCCTGCCAAGCAGAGAGCCCGATGCAGGGCTCGATCCCAGGACCCTGAGATCATGACCCAAGCTGAAGGCAGAGGTTTAACCCACTGAGCCACCCAGGCGCCCCATCATTTTAAAGATTTCTTTAAAGTCATCTCCACATCCAATGTGGGACTGGAACTCATGACCCCAAGATCAAGAATCACAGGCTCTACAGACTGAGCCAGCCAGGTGCCCCTATTTTAATTTTTAAACCTGAAGTCATTGCCTATGGACAATATAAAGTAAATACACAGGCAAGACAAACCAGAAGGAGAAAGTACAGCACTCCAATCCCTGTAACAAGATGCTCAGCCTCTCATTTCCAAGGACTTGCTGACAGAAGCTGAGTAAAGAGACCAAAGTATGGTCAGAAGGGAGGCGTTCTCAATGTTCTGCAAACTTACTGTGCTCAGGGACTCCTGATTTTCCTCTATTTCCTCATAGCCCTATATTCTAACTACTTCTAAAGGCTTTTGTGAGTTGTTTTTTGTTTTGTTTTGTTTTGAGAGTGAGCAAGAGAGAGAGCAGAAGTGGGGGGTGGGGTGTTGGGCAGGGAGCAGGCAGAGGGAGGAGAAGCAGACTCTCTGCTGAGCAGGGAGCCCTGTGTGGGACCCAATCAATCTCACGGTCCTGAGATCATGACCTGAGCTGAAGGCAGCTGCTTAATCAACTGAGCCACCAGGGCATCCCTAAAGGCTGATTTTATCTAAAAACAGTAGTGTACTTCTTCAGATTTTTCTGGGTCATCAAATTCTTTATTTCAAAGAAATGAGGGCGCTGGGGTGCAGACTGCAGAGCTGGTGGTGTAGCCCAGTAACACAGGGTCTGTTCTGATGGCTGGGGGAGGAGACACGGCCTGGCCTGTGTTACATGTCCGTGTGTGGGTAACAATCTAAGCACAGAACAGACTCTTTCGGTGGAGTGTGGTCATGATTACCATGGTTGTATACTCTGCCTAACTTCTCTCTTTTCCTGGTATGTGCTTTCCCTGATGGAGGGGAGCAGCTGCCATAACCTAATTTCCCTTCCCTGGAAGGTGGAAGGGAGCCAGATGTGGAAAAATCCAAAGCAGAAATCCACGGGCTGACAACGAGCACGAGCTGAAGGTCCTAAGGGGATCCGGGGGCTCCACGCTGGAAGCTCAGAACCAGCACAAAACCTAAATAAAACTAATAGCGTCCATCCAAGGGTCTCAGAGCCAGAGGGGCATTGTAAGTACTGAACTGCAAGTTCTGGTTTCGTATGGCAAAGCTAAAACAGAATAATACCTGCATTTTTGTTAAAAATAAATAAATAAATAAATAATAATCATCATTAGAAGGACTGGAACATATTTATTGATGAGATTTTTCCATACCAAAGTCAGCCAAGGACTTAGGCAATTTATCAACAGCTGGTCTTAATCCAACACTAACACACTGATTTTATAACCCATCCCACCGAAAAGGACAGCGCTCACCTAATGTGCTTGGAGTCCCTTCATAGTAACTGTTCCATAGTAACCATCGTCCTTCCCTTCTTATGTAAGCTCCCTGATCTTCACCAGTGTTTACATAGGTTTTTGAAAGTACCCATTTTTTCCAGTAAATATTTAATTCTCTTGTTGCAACTGATCAAACTATCAACAATGAGCATTTTATATAACATGTTTAGTTACGAGAAAGTGGGACACTGACGTCAACAGCACACAGTCTATAAACCAGACTCCAGAAATGCCAGACGCAGCCTCTCGAAATCAGCCACCAATAAAGCACACTTCCTCACAGCTCCAAGTCTTTAAACCAGTTTCTATCCAAGTCCGTCCACATGTACGGATCAGCTTCTAAAATGTGCCCGCAGTCAGACCCGGGCACCTGGTCGGTGGGCTGCCGCACGGGGCGGAGCTGGTACTCTCAGCGATGACTGCCCGGACCGCTAACTATCACCTGCATGCTCCGGGTAACACACTAACTGGCAGGCCTTCTCACTTCTCAGCTTTGCAAACTTAATATTTAGGATCTGTATGGGGTGAGGAGGAGGCGGGGAGAGGAATAACCAACCGTTTGGCTAGTTTCCTAAACTGCCAAGAGTCTCCGCACTGATGGAAATGGATTACGTGTGAGGCCATCTGCCATCTCAGTGACTGGAACAGTGAGTGAATTATAGAGACGTGATAATTATCAAACTGGGCATGAGCACTCGGAGAAAGGAACCCAAAAGGGCCAGAAATGGTCAGAAATGAATTTGGGGAAGTGGGACTTGGGGGTGGGGGGGTCAACTTCGGAGGACAGAGTCTCCTGAGCGGTGAGCCGCCATGGAGACCAAGGTAGGCCGAAGTCTGGCAGCCTCTAGGCCACGAGAACAACTTAGCCACAGCATACAATGGGCGGGGGGGTGGGGTGGGGGGGGCGAAAACCCCTTGCAGGGTCAAAGGAGTCCGAGTAAATGCAACACAGCTTTACGAAACATGAGCTTCTGGGCAGGTAAGGAGAACAGAAAGAGTCCACTGCTAAAAAATCTCAAGATGGAAGGTCAAGAAGCTACTGTGTTAATCCAAGTACAAGGATTCTGGCCACTGGGACAGTGGATGGGACAGTGAGAAAAAGGGATAGAGCGAGTGAGCTGAATGAGAAAAAATAAAAGATTTAGTGTCAAAGAGGACCTCTAAAGAAAGAACAAGAGTGTCTCCTTTAAATAAGGAAACGGGCTTGATAAGGCAAGTAATGAACAAAGTCTGGACATGCTGAATTTGAGCTGGGGGTGGTATGTACACCCGGCAAGCACCCATCGAAGACCAGAGATCTGAGAGAAGTTCTGCGCCCAGAGCAGAGAAAGAGAGGTGTGAACTGAAATATAAAGACTGTAACTGAAACTGAGAGCTGAGAGACCATGTATTTTACAGATACTCCCCCAGCAGAACAGTCTTCCCCTCACCTCCCTCATGGTTAATAAATATTACTTTTAAGAATGGATTACATATAATTTGATACTGGCTTAAGGAAAAAAAAAAAACTGCACACAAAAAAAGTCAAATCCACAAATGCTCACCGTGGTGTCATTAGGTGGTAGGATCATCAAAGATCTTCCTCCTAAATTCTTGGAATTACCGTGTTTGTTTTTTGTTTCTTGTTTCTTGTTTTTTTTTTAAATAGTAAGTATAGACTTTCTATTAGAAAATGAAAAAAAAATTTAATGATCCCCTTTTTAGCATTTGTGAAAGCACTTATAATTGTGAATTTTAGTTTGTAAGTTAGAAGTAAATAAATAAAAGTACCACCGACATAACATTCTATACCTACCATACTGAATAAGTTAGTTTTGACAAAACAACCTGTTTGAGAGAACATTTATTAATAGGACTGTTAATTTTTGCAGCTTCCCTATAGGACAATTTGTCAAAATTTAAAATACAAAAAAATCTTAAGCACTGTACCCAACAATTCTACTGCTAGAAACTTACTTACGGGTATTCTCCCTAAAATATGTACAAGAAATTTCACTGCAGTATTGTTTGTATTAGCAAAACATTTAAAATAACCAAAATGCCTATCGAGCTTTGGGATAGGGGGTAAGTAATGTAATAATATCACTACTTAAATTATGGAATGCTAGAAAAAGAGGGCTTCAGTCTTTACCCCCAGGGTTCAGACCTTGGACCCAGACAAGGAGCCTCAACTGGCGATAAGTACTCAAATTTTAATGATAAAAAAAGTCAAAAGCATATAAAGGAAAATGAAAATATTTGCTTCCTACCTTATCACTACCCATTAGTAGAAAGACTGCCTGTTTTCTACTTTAATCTGCTTACAAGGAATTTGGCCTAAAGCAGTCTATTAACTTATCATTAGCATTAACAGAACTATTAATTATTCCCACGATTGCATTTAGACTGTTGGGAACATGTGCAAAGACAAGGTCAAGCACAGATGAATTCTAACACTAAAGGGCTGTCAGCACAACTGCATGGTGAAATGCAGAACGAGAAAGACTGGGTTTCAGACGCACCTAAATGCCGCACCGTGGACCTGTCCATATGCTTTCCGTTACAAGCCGCTGAGCTACATTTCCTCGTGCTGCTGCGGTCCAAGCTCGAAACCACAGGGGGATCCCGGTTAGCAGAGTCAAGACCTAGCTAAAGAAAAACAGATGGTAAATAAAAACAGAGCAATAATGAACCTACCAGGAGGCACTCCGCATGAATGGAGTCTACTTCTCACTCATTGTGGCCAATCCTAGAACCTGTTCTATTACACGTTCATTCTTAAGGAGCATCTAGGAGGCCCCAGCCAGCCCCTGGGCAGGATCACACACGGCACCTTCTTGCCCTTCAACATCGGCTCTTCATCTGCACTGAATATTTTAGAAGATGGTATTTTAGAATACATGGGAAAAGCAATTTTGTACTTAGTTGGGGTTTCTTCCCGGATAATCTTTGAAACTCTATATTCCCTAGCATAAGACCTCAATTCTTTACCAAAAAAAAAAAAAAAAAAAAAAAATCTTTTTACGTACTTCTCTAGTGTTCTCTAGTGCTCACTGTACTGAGTACCTCTTAAAAATCTTTAAGATTTTATTTCTTTGAGAGAACAAGCTCAAAGAGCAGGGGAGGAGCAGTGGGGAAGGGAGAGGGACAAGCAGATTCCACCAAGCACAGAACCCCACGCAGAGCTCAATCCCATGACCCTGAGATGATCATGACCTAAGCCAAAACCAAGAGTCAGATGCTCAACCGACGGAGCCACCCAGGAGACCCAGGGACCTGTTAGAATTAATAAAGGGATGGGGCACCTGGGTGGCTCCGTGGGTTAAGCCTCTGCCTTCAGCTCAGGTCATGATCTCAGGGTCCTGGGATTGAGACCCGCATCGGACTCTCTGCTCAGCGGGGAGCCTGCTTCCCCCTCTCTCTCTGCCTGCCTCTCTGCCTACTTGTGATCTCTGTCAAATAAATAATCTTTAAAAAACTTAATAAGGGGAGATGTCATTGATGTGCAGTAGGAAGAAAGCAGGGGACACTATAAGGGGGAGCCAGTAAAAGTCAAGCACAGGAAGAATTGTCAATCACAGACCCCAACAGAAGAATCTCAACAGGAAAGAATTATCAATGATAGGGCTCAAAACAGAAAGACAGTACACTGCAGCCCCTACAAGAAATCTGCAACCCTGGCCAACTCAGTCCATGACAAGCCACCATCACCCTGACCTAGTGTCTTCCTCCAACAGGTTTTGCTACAAAGCCACCCCTCCCAACTTCTTCCTTCTCCATAAAATAATCCTCCTCTCTGCTGTACCTGCCTATGGTTTGTCCATGGTTTAATGGACCAAATAAACTCACTTTTTCTGGTAAAAAACTTATTTTGAAGGCTAATATTATTTGGTGATTAGAAGTGGGATCCAGAAGACTGCCAACAACTCCAAGGCTGATGAACAAAAAGGTACCCATATCCACAGAGCTACCTGAGCTCACTGCTTTCTCGCCAACCCTAGAACTTGAACGTAATTTTTCTCCTGGATTTTGAGCTCCATTCTCTGTTTTAAGCTCTCTAAGAATTATTTGGCATCTGTTTTAAGGCTTTGTTCTTTATAAGAATGTTCATTTGGCTTTCGGTCCAGCTTCTGTTATGAACCAGGCTACTCCGACTGAAACTGTGCTAGCCTTTTACCCAACTTCTTGGGAAGAGGGAATATTATCAGGAATCTAAAATTGCTTGTCTACAAAATACAATTTCTAGACCAACGGAGGCAAAGAGCGAAGAGGGCTTCTGAGGCCTTTTTCCTTCCTGTCTTCTATGTCTCAGGATGTGTAGCAGCTATCTTGTGTTCACTCCTGAACTTCCCTTTTCCTCTGAAACTCTCCCCACTCCCTCCTTTCCTGAACATAATAAAAACTGCCCCTTTAAAGTTAAGTCTTCTGAGGATCTGAAAACCCAAATCTCTTATGTTCCCTGGACCAAGGCCAGACTGTGCACCAGAGTTGAAGAGTTTCCTAAAATGACTCAGAACTCACATTTGCTAAAGAATTTAACACACTTATTCCAACTTACCACCCCGGTTTCTAAGATTTGTATCAGCCAAGCCATGCGCTGGTTGGGGAGGACCATGCCAAACGCTGGATGAAATTAGCCCCATGAGAACATCCTAAAACATTTAGAGAAACAAACCCCTAACTTTGGCAAGATCCTAGAACGCTCACTGGAAATCTCCACCGGGCAATTACAGTAGCTTTTCCTAAGCCTGTTGACTGGAACAGAATTCAGATTTGCACACAACAGCCTGATGACCTGGTCGTAACTACTATAACCAACTCCAAAGTGTCTCCGGGGAAGATTCTAGTCTTCCTTTAGAGAATCCACCTGGGTAGCATTTAGCTCTCATTTACTAACAGGCTAAACCAGGATTTTTTAGTTGAAGGAGCAGCATGGAATGGGAAACTGTGTCCACTCCACATTTAGCTAGCTTGGCAAACCAACTCACTCACACCCACAAGGGCCACCTGAAAGAAAGACCACTAAACTCTCGATTTTCAACTCTGGCCAATGACGGCCCCTAAACAGACCAAAACCCCTTGGTTTCTGCTATAGGTGCAAAGGGCCAGGGCAATGGGAAAAAAGACTGTTACAAACCTAAACATTCCAGAAGCCTTCAGCCCTCTTGCCAGCCTTTCCAACGTCCTCCTAATTCCCAGCAATGGGGCTCCAAGGACCTACAGGGGCTCTTCCCAGTCCCCATTCTTAATTGGCCTGAAGAAACCACTCTCCAGACTGAGAATGAAATCTCTTTGTCTTACTAACCCCTCAGCTATACATTCTCTGTGCGCTATACCACTCCTGGAAAGCAGGTCCTGCAGGCAACAGAGCATGAAAAGAGCCCAAATAGTTGGGGGGGAGAAGGGGGTTTCTCTCATAAACCTCAAAGGTTCCTGTCTGCACCTATTCCTTTTCGGTTAGACCCTTGGAGAGATTCCCACCCTTTTCTCCTTAGTTTCTCCATCCCATTCATTCACTGGGACAAGATTTCTTAGGAAAGTATTATGCCAGAATTTCTCCCGAAAGAAGCAAATAACTCTAGAATCAAAATTGCCAACCAGGTGGATTAAATGAGCCTTCAGCCTCTTCTGTTTGCTCCATCTCTGATGGCACGATAGGGGAGTCTGGGAACATGGCTCATTTGTCCCCATCGAGTCAGCTGACACCCTCTTTATGGGCAGATTCCTCAACTGATACTGGCAGGATTCACAGCACGCCTCCCACCAAGATTCAAACAGATCCCTCGCCACCTCTCCCCAGAACAAATGCCCTATAAATAAAGAAGCCCTTTAAGGCATCAAGCCCGGAGTAGGAGACCACAGACTCAGGGCCTTATCACCCCCTGTGCTAGGCCCTGGGAGCCCCTACTTTACCTGTGAGAAGACCCCTGGCCCAGGATGGAGGCTAGTCCAGGACCTCAGAGCAATAAGTAACATTATCCCTGGGCGCCCTGTTGTTCTCAACCCCCACACACTGATGTCCTTTCCCACTAAAAGCAAATCCTCCTTCCCTGTGATTGTTCTATATAATGCACTTTCAGTATTCCGGTTCATCAGGACAGTATCTTCTTGCTTTCACCTGGGAAGAACAGTAATAAACCTGGACAGTAAAGCCCCAGGTTACACAGGCAGTCCTTCTTAACTCCTTATAAACCTTAAAAGCTGATTTGGAGGATATAAACTTTCCTGCAGGCTCTAGTTGGTTACAATACGTATTACGTTCTGCTTTTCTGCTCCTTTTCTTAAACATCTTCACAGGAGACAGCATTCATCTGTTAAAAACTTTTGGCCTCAAAAGGACATAAAATTGGGGCACCTGGGTGGCTCAGTCGGTTAAGCATCTGCCTTCGGCTCCAGTCAGGATCCCGGGGTCCTGGGATTGAGCCCCGCATCGGGCTCCCTGTTTGGCGGGAAGCCTGCTTCTCCCTCTCCCTCTCTCACTCTCCCTGCTGTGTTCCCTCTCTCGATGTCTTTCTCTGTCAAATAAATTAATAAAATCCTTTAAAAAACAAAACAAAACAAAAGGACATAAAGTCTTCAAAGACAAATTGCAGCTTGCACAAACTCAGGTTCATCTTAGGGCACCTGATCTCAGAACAAGGACTACATTTAGACTCAGGTTGGTTTCACCAGCACCCTGAACTTCCCAAAACCTAAACTAAGTGCCAATTACGAAGTATTTTGGGGCTGTCTACTGTCGAAACTGAGATTCCAAACTTCTCTCTTACAGCTCAACCATTGTATGCTTTACTTGAAAAATGACAAACCTGACCCTGTCATTCAGAAAGATCGAGAAGACCTAGCTTTGGAGACTTTAAAGAAAAGCTTAATAAAGCCTCCTGCCTTCGACATCCTAATGATCAACTTCCCTTTTCCTCATTGTGTGTGAGAAGGAAGAAAATGCCTGGAGTACTTACCCAAAAATATGGGAGACCATCACTGACCCACAGGATAGGAGAGCCAACCACTGGAGCCTGTGCCCAGGGATGTCCCTTCAGCCCCCCCTCAGAACCATTCCTGTCACTGCCCTTCTGGTTCAGGCCCATGAAGAAAGAGTCTCAGGACTCCCTCTAACCAAGCTTGTGCTGCCTGCAGAAACCCCCCTAAAATCTCACCACACTCAGCACCTCAGTCAGCCGCCTCACCTCCTAGGAGACCCCCCTGCTACCTGCTCGTCACAGAACTCCTTCTCACAGCCATAACCGTAATTAAGCCTGCGATTCTCCTCTCCTCCTTCACGGAGGAGACCCCTCATAACTGCCTGAGACCGACAGATCACCTCTGGACTTCCTGTGACAATTCCTAGCAAACTCCTCTAACCAAGGCGGATTTTTCGTGTTTTACCAATGGTGCTGGTTTAGAGGATGAGAATGACAAGTACCATGCTGGGAATGCTAGTGTGGCCCCTCTGGAAGGGACAGAGGCAGCACACTTCTACCTTTAGCTACTTGAGCCCCACAGGCTGTTTCACGCTCTCGGTCAAGCTTGTACCTTGGCCATAGATCAAACCACAAACATTTATACCCACAGCTGGTCTGCCTTCAGGTAGCTCAGCACTCTGGAATGTTACGCCAACAATGTGGTACCCTTACCTCCAAGGGGGATAAGAT